ATAAATAATATTTTGTATCTAAATTCATTTAATATAACTCATCTAAGTCACATCTAGTATAATTTTTTTTTTATTAAGTGCAATTTGATCTTATTAGTTATATTTTATTTTTTAATTTTTTATTATTTAGAAATATATTTATATTAATATAAATATTAAAATATATTTATTAATAAATATAATATTTTAATTTTTTATTAATATATTAATATAATAAAATAATTAAATTGGATAATCTGTAAATCTAATATGGTTTTTTAAAAAAGATAACTTGTCTTAAGTTTAAGGTAAATTTAAATTTATTTTTTATAAAAATGGATCAAATTTATGTTTGGTAAATATCACCCTCTTGCCATCCTTATATGGAAATTATATTTTTATATAAATATATGAAAAATACTTACGATTAAGTGTAGATTAAAAAATTATAATAAATTTAAATATAATTATTTTTACCAAGTTCAAATATCGAATTATAATTATAGTGTATACTAATCTAATTAAAATATTACATCATTAATAATATCGTGTTCTAATAATTTATATTTTATTTAAATATTATAAATTTAATATTTTTTGAATATATAATAAAAAATAAAATTATTAATTTATAATATTTAATTTAATAAAAATAAAAATTAAATGTGACGACCCATGTGCCCTTGATGCTTAACTGACACTGTTAACTTTAGACATCATCATAATATTCGTGCAAGAAACTAACTTCAAAGCGATTCCTGGCGGTCACGCACCAAAACGACATAAAAGGTCCGAGTTTTACTCACAAAACGACAGTGTACTACACAACTTGATTGGTTATAAATTGTACTTTACAAAAACCAAAACACGAATTGCGTGATTCCTGACACGGATAAGTTTCCACCTCTATCCTTATTAACTTTTCATTCTGATTTTGATTATCAAGTTTTTTTAATTTATTTTATTTTATAATATTATCTCAAAATAATAATAATAAGAGTCTGTTTATTCACTGAGCGCACCATGAATATGTACATTATATACTATATTATAATATGATGATATATTACAAGATATATTTTTTTAATCAAATGCTATAGCACGGGTGTAATGATATATTTAAAGTAGGGTGGTGTGTGTATATATATATATATATATATTGTATATGATATAACATGATTTATATGATTATTTTCTTACCACGAAAAGTAACTTGAATTCCTAAATCAAGATATATTTTGATATACTCTATGCTTAATTAATTGTTATAAATAATTTTCTTGTAGGGACATTATAAATAAATAAATAAAATACATAGGTGTCTAGTAGTAGAGTATTTTTGGATTAATTTCTACATATTTAAATTAATTTATGTTTAAAACTTAAGTAAAAAATAAATTATTCACGTGAATAATTAAGAATTTATTTTAAAATTTACACAATTTATCTCTAGAAATATCAAATATTAATGGGTCAAAATTATAGATCAACGCAGACTTACCATTAAATATATATATATATTGTAGCACCCGGAAAAAAAAAAAAAAAAAAAAAAAAAAAAAAAAAGGGCCACGTCAGCAGCCACGTCAGCAGTCCCGGCCAACCAGGGCCTGCCACGTGGTAAGATCGCGTCACTCCGAAAGGAGCCACGTTGGCGATCCGCGTGGGTGCGATCCGACGGCCCAGATCAATCGCGCGATCGGACGGCCCAGATTCAAACGCACGGACGGCCCAGATTCAATCAAAAACGAACGGCCTAGATTAAAATGAAATGAACGGCTGTGATCAAAAGGCAAGGGGTTATAAATAGAACCCCCACACCAGACCACAAACCCTAGCCGCCAGCCGCTCGCCGGAAAAGACGAACCAGAGGCCGACCGCCGCCACCCGCTGCCACTCGCCGCCGCACCGGGGAAATTTCCGACCGCCGATCGAGGTAAATTTCATACCCCAACTCATTTTTCCCCGCTGATTCCTCCTATGGCCAAATCGAGGCCGAAATCCCGGCCAAACGGCCGGAATACGCGACCGAAGCCCAGCGGCGCCGCCGCGCCCCCTCTCGGTTTTTGCCTCCGACGAGGCCCTTCCCGGCCTCCGTTCGATGCAATTTTTATATCACCGTGATCACCATTCTTTTCTCTACAGGTTGACCGGAGCCGAATCACCAAAACACGAACCTCGCCGGAGAGCCGCTGCACCCGAGAGCGTCGCCGCCGGTAAGCTCCGTTTTTCCGTGATTTTTTGGCCCCCCGAGGGCCCTAGGGTTGTTTTCTGACAAGGACCAATGCGAGCGTGGCCGAATTCGGCCGAAAACGGTCGAAAACAGCCAACCCGAGGCGACTCGCCGCCGTGCCGGAGTTGCGATTTGGGCCGAAAGAGGCCCTGGGCCTAATTTGGATTTTTTTTGGAACACGTGCAGGTACTCTTAGTGTGTTTCAGTTTCCCGGGAAAAATTCAGGGAAAATTAGGGACGGCCTGCAGGCGCACTGTGAATCGTATTCGGATCTCGAAAACAAGTAAGGACCCATCACCCTATTTCCTATCACGGTATTAAAGTTCAAAATGATAAAACGGTATTTCTTGAATTAACGAATGTGTGAAATTGCTTAAGGTGGCTAATGGAGCCCGAGTCTAGTGTGACTGGTGATTTACTGTTATTTGGCATGTTTACAGCTTTAAATGCAAAATGAGGTTTGATGTGTTCATTTTACAGATTTGTGTGCATATACTACGTTTTTATTAATCGTGGGTTGAATGACTGAAAAACTGATACTGTATGTTGTCTGTTTGGTATGAATTACGATTTGCTTGTTTAAATGTGAATTGATGATGCTGATTGAGGAAAAGGAAAATGAAAGATTGTGTAGACTGATAATTGTATTATGGGGGTAAGCCTGACTAGATATCTTGGGAGATGGTGGACGGACCGGGTCCGTAGGGAACCCTACCGGGATTGTGGTCTCACATGCCGAACGGGGTATGGAGATCTTATGGTTTTGGCGCCCATACCGGACGGGGTATGGGGACGGCCCGTTTCACCCTCATACCGGACGGGGTATTGAGGTTTATGGTTTTGGCGCCCATACCGGACGGAGTATGGGGACGGCCCTGGAAACTGATTATGAATGTTAAAGGTTAACGGGTAGCGGAACCCCTATGGACCCCCACGGATACTAGTAGGCTGGTAAATGAGAAAAAGATATGTTGTACAATGATTGAATTATAAGAGGCGTGATAAGTGTTATGTTTTACAGCTTAGATTATTCAATGATTATGATAATGTTATTGTTTTTCTCATATTGTTTTCATAAATTCCACCAAGGTAAGTGGATGGTAAAGGTTTTCATGTTAATAAACGAGTTTGTTGTAAATTATGCTCCATTGGTCTTTTTGTGTTTTTCTACCCACCTTTATCTCCGTGACGGTGAGATATCGTGATGTTCTTACTGGGCTAGTGTAGCTCACTCCTTAATTAACCATTTCAGATCAAGAAGACATGGTTTCCGAGCCCGTTCCGCAGGAGGACGACGAAGGGGATGCCTAGAGACTCTGTAGTCATACGCATAGTTTATTTTCGAGTTTTCTTTCTTAGTTAGTTTAACCTTTTATATTTTAAGTACGTTTTTGGTTTTTCGTGTAAGGGATGTTAACTGAAATTTTGATCTCGCTTCCGCATTCGATATATTTAAATACTCATTTCTTTTTAATATTTCCGGGGCCGTTACATATATATATATATATGTTGATAAACTTAAATATTGAAGCTGGGTATGAGACATTGACAATTATTTTGACATTTTACACCTATTTCTTCTGGGAAGTTTCTTATGACATATATATATGTGTATGTATGTATATGTATGTTTCGAAAATCAATTTTAAACCAACAAAATTTGAGAATTTAAAATCTTAATCTATACCAGGATAACATGTTAGGGTGGCTAATGGCTCATCCTTCTTCCTTGATTAATTTGACTAATCTTAATGTTCAAATTAAGTTACTTAATTGGCTTCAGAGTTGACTTTTCTAACTGAAACAACAATGTTCTGAAACTACCTAGTAAAAAAGAAAAATAAAAAAGAGATTAAATTACTTTATAAACACGGATTAAGGGAAATAATCAGTAATTTTTATTTACAAGGGTAGTTTAGTCATTCTAAAAACTGTCCCGCTTTTTTTCTTGTTTGTCTTGTAAGGGTATTTTCGTCACACAAACTTTATGCATCACAACTGGCTGGACTCGCCCTTCGAAACTGTAATTGCTCGTATCCAGTTCCCCATAAATACCGGACCAGGAGCTCAAGCAAAGAACTCAAGGGATATTTACACCTCCACATAAAATATCTTTGTGTTGATCAACTAGAGCATACTTCACCGGTGAAATCTTCCGGTGACTCTTTCAACGACCTCCGGCGATTATTGGAACCTTGAAAAGCTACTTTGTCCTGGTAAATATACGTCATTTCTCGGCTTACGATTACTCTGCTAATTGGAAGTAACTGGTTGTTGACTATAGTCGATAGATTCATATCTATCGATGATCTCATGATAGATAATAGGCGATGTTGCTCTATTTGGTTGCTGACAAAATTGAAGTTCTTGTTGTTAAATTCTTCATCGTTTTTGTTTCTGATTGATTACGGCTCATAGGATTTTGGCTTTCGCGTTTGTAAGAGATTCATTTGTTTCTGCTCTTTTCTTTTCCTCGCAACCAACGGCTTCTGAAAGTTTCTCAGTTTCTTCTTCTTTTGAAGGATATAATTCATTGTTTTAAGTTAAGTACCTTTCTTCCCCGGTTTAGTGATTCGTTCTTTTCGTTTAATTGATTATGTGGATTGACTGCAGTTTCTATGAGCATTCCTTAATAATGCATAGCAGCAAACGAGTATCGTGATCCCTTTTCGTATTAATTTATTGTTTAATCATTCGTTGACTTGTAATATCAAGCTGAATGTTCGTGATTGCTTTTTTCTAATAAAGTGAATCGAGAAAGATGGTGATGGAGATGGAACAAGAGTTTGAGTGGGTTGAAGCGCAGAAAATTGAGATAAGTGTGGATCTTGTGCCTGCAGCAAAACAGCAACTTAAGTTTCTCTCAGCCGTTGATAAGAATCGTTGGCTCTATGAAGGCCCTGCGCTAAAAAGGGCAATCTATAGGTAAGTGCTTCATAATAAACTTTAGTCGAACTGTGTTGAATTTGATTTGGCTTTAAGTTTTCTCTTCCATAGACAATTGACAAGGTTATTCCTTCGAAGATCATTTGTGTATCCAGTTGTTTTCTTAATATAGTATGCTACTTTAAATTTGAAACTGAAACTAAAATTGGATCCAATAAGATGAAATTTACTCCTACTTAGCACTTTCCTTATCTCGCCAAATATCTTTGGTAAATCGTTTCTCCAAACTATGGCTTTTGAGACTCTCATAAACATCATTAGGTCCATGACTTCTTGGGAAGTCTACCTTAAAGTTTCAGTATGTGATTTTGGGGAAGACATATGATCCTATGAATGATATTTCTTTATTCTTCTCTTTGAAGGTTCTAAACTTTGGAAATGCTAATGTCAGGTACAATGCTTGTTGGCTTCCCTTACTCGCCAAACATTCCAAGTCACAGATTTTTGAAGGGCCATTGGTTGTTCCCCTTGACTGTGAGTGGATTTGGCATTGTCACAGGCTCAATCCAGTAAGGGTCTAAGTCCATAAACGTACTATACATTTTAATATGCAAATCCATGCACAGACATAGACAAGAACATATATATGTGACTTATTTTATTTACTATTAGTTTTGAGTTGCTAAGCAGTATTTCTTGTCCTGTTATTCAGCTTCGGTATAAATCTGACTGCGAGGAGCTTTATGGGGGAGCGCTTGACAATTCTAATGTTGTATCTTCTGTCAAAGGCAGTTGTGAGAGACAGACTGAAGAGCTTTGGAATAGATTATATCCTGAAGAGCCCTATAATTTAGACTTGACAAGAGCACTCTCAGAGGATATCTCTGAAAAACTTTCCAGTGTAGAAAAATGCTCCAAATATGATCTGGTTTCAGCTGTCGAAAGGCAGAGTCCTTTTTGTTATCAGGTAATGGAGAGGTGGAGTGTAGATTCTTAGTAAATCATCGTCACATCTTTCTAGATTTACTTAACAACTATGCATAGATGGCCACCTTATGATTCTAGCTTGCAGCGTCTTACTTTTGGGTTTAAACATCAAGTTTGAAAATTCTAGGCTCACTACTCATGTTGAAATTGTAGCTATATTGACTTAGATTGATTTTTGTATATACCAATTTGTATCTAACTTAGATTGATATTAGACAGTTTTATGGCAGATTTCTGAAGTTCAGCGCAGGAGCACATCCAGTTTTGTTAACCTTTAAGAGGGATAGCATTTGTTGTTCTGTAATGATTATCACTAACATTATTTTATTTGCCAGGTTTAAAAAAGTTAATCCCGGGGGAAATGATCTTTAGAACTTTGAAACACAATCCCAAGATAAACTGTCACCCATTCTTCTAATTCTACCCTTTCTAATCATGTCCTTGACCTCATTCATTACAGGTTTCTAGATTTCATATGAACGATGACATCTTTCTTGAAGAAGCTGTGGCCAGATACAAGGGTTTTCTGTACCTAATCAAGCGAAACAGAGAAAGGTCCATAAAACGTTTTTGTGTTCCAACTTATGACGTCGACCTTATCTGGCACACACATCAGCTGCATCCTGCTTCTTACTGTAAGGATTTGACCAAAATAATAGGCAAGGTGTTGGAACATGATGATATGGATTCTGACAGAACTAAAGGTAAGAAGCTCGATGTTGGGTTTTCTGGAACTACTGCACAGTGGGAAAAGACATTTGGTAATAGATATTGGAAGGCAGGGGCAATGTATCGCGGCAGTGTCCCATCTCCTCTAACAACTATTCCTTTCTCATTCAAAAGTTTGAGCAAAGAGTCAGTTACAGCAAATGGTTATAAGAAATTAATCCAGCTTCCTGACACAAAAGTTGTGGAGGTATTTTCTTCTCACCTTTCTTTTTCATTTCCTCAAATAATTGTCTTTTATGATCCATAAACTGCATAGTCTATCTTTTTTTATTTCATTTTTCTATATCATCTAATCTGGGGAATATATGAGGGCCCCGATTTTAGCTTGGATCTCAAATCTAAATAAGAACCCTGCATTACCCGTTGATCAGGAGATCTATAACCTAGGCATGAATTATCATTGCTACTCTCTGAAGTAATTTCTTATTTAACAACATAGCAACACTTCATCAGCAAGCTTTGGCGGCAGCATTTGTTTTAGCATGATTTGGAAAGTAACTCTTGATGCTATATGGTCTTTAGAAAGATTCTAATAGTTACATTTCCTTTTTTTCATGATTTTGCATGAAATGCCACAGCTTTTGGAATTAGCTATTGTTTTCTCATATATTGAGGAAACATATCATACTGTAACTGCAGAAACTTTGTTTGACTTAACCTTAAGGGTTTTCTTAATTGTTCCTTGCATCTTTTGCAGGTTGTCCTGGAGATTGTTGGAGTTAAAAACTTAACAGATGGACAGAAAGGAAGCCTCTTCGTGCTGTTTAGCAAAGCCCAGCCTGATAGGCTTTTTAATGTTAAGCGGAAGCTCACTATTTTATCTGAGTCTGGGAAGAAGCAGGTTGCTTCATTCCAATGCGAACCTACAGGCGAACTTCTCTTTGAACTTATATCCTGTTCAACTGCCAATTTCCCAATAACAAGAGCATTGAAAACACTTGGTACTGCTTCATTCTCTTTGCAAGAGTTTCTTTATCCAGCTTCAAAACTCTCTGTGGAAAAATGGTTGGAGTTGACTCCCAGATCGGGCACTCTTAATTCAAAACCCATCAGCCTACGAGTTGCTATCTCATGTACCCCTCCAGCTCAGGCGCAATTTGTGCTTCGCATGGTTCGCTCACGGCCTTTTTCGAAAGGTTCTTGTCTTTTCTCTCTTCCCAGAAAGTCCAATCATGCTAAGAGCTGGACACGTGTCATTGATGAAACTCAAACTGAGGTGATCGGCCTCCAAATGAGGTATGATTATGTTCCACATTTTCTCCTTCAAAGGATTTGACACAATCTGTTTAGGGATCTGGATTCAAACTGTTCAAGGGGTTCACATTACCCTGTTTGTATTTCAGGGACACAACAAAAGAAAAGACAAAGGATGACTGCACCCCTAGGAAGCAAGTCATTGGCATCACGGAGTCTGGTGAAACACATAATCTTGCAGAATCTGTTGGGACTCAGTGGTCCTTCATGAACTCTGAATGGCTCCTCAAGCATAACAAAGAATGCCTCGCGAATGGTCATCTGTTTGAGCTTGTAGGCACCAGGATGGTATGCATTTACTTTTGTCATTTAGCAGACATCCCTTTTAGCTTTTTTTCACTAATATGTTTCCATCGAAAGTATGTAATCAATATGATCCAAACATCTAAAATAAGTATCTTTCTACAATGAATCACAGGTTAATTATTTTGCTGTAGATTCTTTCTGTGTTCTTGTGTTGTTTTCTTCTCGATTCCTTGAATTGACATAATATTTGCATTCTCATCTGCCTGATATTTTTCCTTGCATTTCATGCACGGGTGATGCGTATTGTTTAGTTTTTCATTATGTGTTGCTTTTTTTTGTTATAACGGCGTGTATTTTATTGTTTGTCCTGAATTTATGCTTTATTTTACTTTATACATCTATGTAAGTTATTCCACTGCTATTTTGGTATCCCCACGATGATCATGGGGGATATTTCAATTGATGTTTTCTTGTTCCACACTTCAATAAGAGGCCTTAGGTTTTGTCCAAACTAATTCTACTGGTACAGGTAAGAATTTTCCCAGGCAGAAAGCTGGACTATGAACCAAAACACTGTGAAAAACAAAGATGTGAACAAGACTTTATGACTGCAGCTGAATTTTCTTCAGAACATCCATATGGAAAAGCTGTGGCGTTGCTTGACCTGAAATCTGGAGATGTGCAGGTATGAAATAAATATTTCTCAATACCAATGAAAATGTTCTCATGGCTTTACTTGTCTTGTTCTTTAACAATTAAATAAACTGTACAGGTTAAGGAAGATTGGTTGGTGTTTCCTGGTATTCTTTGTTCTTTTATACTCTATCATATCTTGAAGAGGGAAGGCTATAATGGTTTCACGGCCACTACAAAAAAGGTGGAGGTAATTGGTGAAACTGAAAAGCTTAATGGGTTTGAAGATGAAGGCAAGCTGACTGACCTGACTGCTGCCCCTGCAAAACCTGAAATGAAATTGACTGAGAATGCAGTGACCAGCAATGCTAACTCTGCTGGATCCGGCGGAAGATGTAGTGGACAATGTGGAGTCATGATGAAAAATGGAGTCTCTGGGGGTGCAGTGGTGTTTGCAGTGGAGAATGTGCAAGCATGGCAAACAGCAGCGGTTGTGGCAGTGGGTGTGGCAGTGGATGTGGCGGACAATGTGGAGTCATTATGAAGACTGGCGTCTCGGGGGGGTGTAGTGGTGTTTGCAGTGGAGAATGCGCAAGCATGGCAAACGGCAATGGCGATAGTGGTTGTGATGCTGATGGTGGGGAGAAAGTGGGAACATGGTAAAGACCAGCGGGTTTTGGTGATTCCATCAAGCTGACCAACGCTGAAAATTCTGTGGAGAGTGGTGGTTGTGGGAGTGGCTGCGGAAGTGGCTGCGGCAACAAATTCGGAAACGAAAACATTGGGGATGATCATAACCCTTGCATTGATGGATATTCCAAGGAAACACCTGTGTACGTGAATGAGGTAATTGCAGCCTGATGGCGTTTATCAGTCTAATTATCTTCAGAGCAATTTCCCATCTCAATAAAAAGTTTCATCAGATGTATAAGATATGAAACTACGTGTTGTTGTTAGTGTGTGTCAGAGCAGTAGACTTCGGTTTCCTGTTTCTATAAATCCACAGTCACGTCTGTTCATGAATAAGGACTGCTGGTATATGTTTTCGGGAGAAAGAAAAAAATATATAAATTGTTCTCATAATATTATGTAAGGGTATTGTGTTCTGACTTACATGAACACAATCAATATACTTAAAATAAAAAATGAGTGTGTGAATTTCAGATTTTTCACTTGACCTCCTTAATCACATTACGTGCTCTTAATCACAAATATGTATAGGTAGTACTTATAATCTCTAAATTCATTTTTACTTCCCAAATTATTATTAACCTTCTCTCTCTCTATATGTATCTTTTTGTTTAGTGTTCATTCAACGTTATGGTTAAATAGGCAAATTTTAATATAAAATCTATTCATTATCACACTTGTTTAGGTAGAGGTAGTATTTTATTTTCATATATAACTTTAAGGAATAACAATATATATATATATATATATATGAAATACAAATTTAAAATTGATAGTCAAATATATGCTAATCACAACTCTCAATTTTCCATGAGCCCAAAGACCCCACTCACTCGGAGAAAAAAAAAGTCGTGGGAACACTCTCAATACAT